CACACCATTAGGTGCAATCACAGACTGAGGGAGAACCATCTGGCTGGGTTCAACCTTCTATGGGGCTTCTGTTTGTAGGCAGGGCTGGATGTGTCTTCCTCAGCCTGGCCACTGCCTCCGGTTCAAGGACGATGTGGGAAACTGTAATATGTTTACTAGGCAAAGGTATCTGGACAGGCCAACAGGATCACACAGTGGAAACAGTGAAATAAACACCAAAAGGGTCACACTGGACATAAAGATAGGTAGCTGGGAAGGAAGAAAGTAATTGTTGCAAAGAGAGAAGAAAAGGTGGGTGGGGGGAGAGGTCATTCTCTGCTGAAACAGTCCATCTGTGGAGGAGGACATCGCAGAGAGGCTCAAAGACTTTCATTCCAGAAAAGGTAACTTTCCTTGATTTACAGGAAGAAAGTAGAAAGCAAAGAGGGCCCGGTGCCAGCCCCAAGAAAGTGAGAGGGTCTGGAAGTTGGTCTGCAGCAGTTTGAGAATGGAGGGGTGCGTGTGGTGGGGGGCATGGGAAATGGGCGGAGGGGTGGGGAGGTCCCAGGCAGCACAGCTGAGGAGTTTGTGGGTGGGTGGGGGGCAATGCTGGGGAGAGGAAGTGCAGCCAGTCCCTTGCTGGGGACAGACTCATGGCACTGTATTTGGCGATGTCTGCCCTGTGCCTGCCCTGTGCTCTAATCACCCACTGCCAGCCCCAACCTTTAGTAAACATCTGCTAAACACAGACTCTTTCCTCATGATCTGGGGGGAATGAAAGAAAAAGGTTCTATCAGCATGGACACAGGCCAGCAAGAAGAGATGGGAAGAAAGAGCCTGGGTCCAGAGTGTTGGAACTGCTGGTGTGTGTGTGTGTGTGTGTGTGTGTGTGTGTGTGTGACAATCACTGAGTACGGGGTTTGCTTTAACATATGTGATTTAAGACATGATGCGTTATATTTTCTTGTTCAAATTTTTGAAGAGGGTATTACATTTATCATGGCTCAAAATTCAAAGAGTATGAACTAGTAGCAGGGAAACATCTTCATGGCTTTATAAGAAAAAAAAATATGCAAATCTCTTTTGTTTCCTTCTAGTTTATGCAAATGATGCCACACTATATACACTATATTGCAAGTTGCTTTTTTCATATAATGATTCCAGGTGATCTTTCTACATCAGCCCATATAAGAATCCTCATTCTTACCCTGAGGTGCATGTGCCTTTACACAGATGTACCACAATTGATTTAAGCCATTCACACTGATGGGCATTTAGGTGGTTTTCTGATTTTTGCTGCTATGACAAATAGTGAAAGGAAGAAGTTGGTAAGATATAATATATTCTTAAATGTGCTCTTATTATATCAAGGGTACAGATTATTTTTTCCCACTAAAACATAGATGCAATTTAATCTGGCAAACCAGATTTATTTAATAAAAATGTGCTGTTGAAAACATTGTTGTCACGTATATTTGATTCAGTAGGGTCTACTTTATAAGAAAATACTAGTTATTATAGCTAGCAATAGCAGTACATTTTCAAGAACAGATTATGTAAATATTGAGTGATGTTTAGCATCACTTGACTTAGGATAGCCAAAACCAAGGGCACTTACTTAAAGCACTAAGGCAGGGGTCCCCAACCTGTGGTGAGTTGTATGATTATTTCATTATATATTACATTGTAATTCATTATATATTACAATGTAATAATAATAGAAATAAAGTGCACAATAAATGTAATGCGCTTGAATCATCTTGAAACCATCCCTGTCCCCACACTCCCCCTCTGCCTCCCCCCTCCCCCCACCATCCGTGGAAAAATTGTCCTCCATGAAAACAGTCCCTGGTGACAGAAAGGTTGGGGACCACCACACTAAGGGCAATAAGTACAGAATGAGGCTCGGCTGCCTGGTAGATTGAAGAAGGTCTCCACTTAGAATTAGGAAGCCTGGGTTTGATTCCTCGTCCTGCTACTGTGAACTTTTCAGTAAAGTGAAAAGGGATGGTGATTCGTGCCCTATGAACCTGGCAAAGTCGTTCTGAAGATAAAATGGGAAATTATTTCACCTCCATGAAATTGTTTATGAACTATAAATGTCTGAACCAATGTTAAATCCTATTGTTATTGCTATATCACTTACAGTGCCATTTGTGAAGGTCAATCAATCTATGGAATAAATTGTTAATCAATATGTTAATCAATCTATGGAATAAATTCTCAAATATATTTCATAAAAGAAATTACACTGGACAAGACCATTTTAATTAAATGCACCGAGTGGTGGCCCTTATATATCACAATGTTTTAAAATCCAATTAAATAATGGATCAGCAAGGAAACAAATAGCTAACCACCACCACAACTTTTTTTTATTTTGCACCCTTCCCATCTCCCCACCTCATCTACAGTTATTAATATCAAGTTCACTGCTAACAACCTTGACAGGTGATAAATCCAGAAACCACTCCAATCTGATGGGTAGGTAATCTCCTTTTGCCAATTAACACTGTTAATATTCTCAGATTCACAGGTAATATAGTCTCTCTGGATTCATTTGGAAATCATCAATAAAACAAATGGGCAAACAAAGTGTGACTACTCTGCAAAGTGAAATGCTGGGCTGTCTGGATTTGAGAAATATTTGGAAACCTACTCATCCCACTCATTAAAACCTTCAAGACACACCATCACTGAAGCGGACAGGTACCCCAGGCTCTTCTCAGCCAAGCCATTCAAGTTTCCGCTGCCTCTTTCTAGTCGCTGCCTCCATGGCAACAGTCCACTGACCTGCCCTTAAGGGAAATAGAATCTCTGGCAAGACTGAGACTTTTAATAATTCCACTTGTCAATACAGGTCAGAGAGAAATGGATGGATTCGTACCAAGTAACTTAACAAACCTACTAGCAAAATGAGTAGCCCCCAGCAAGTGACCAGACCCGGCGGCCAGAGTGACCCTTAGGAAAACCCAACATCACATCATTAATGTCCAAGAAAATCTGCACCACCACCACCTGTCCATCAAACTGCTCACTGAGCATGGATTCTTCCTTCAATATTTTCCTTATTTACCTTTTTCCAAAAAGGCAAGAGCATACTGGGTGGTTCATTCAAAGTGATTATTATTCAGATTATTCATCGGGTCCTTATTCTCATTTGTGAAAGTCAGAGGGTAGCACCTGCTTTGCAAGTTTCTTCCTAAATTTATTTTTAATAAATAAATACAAAAATATCTACAGAAAAGGGCATATTTTATTGCACAAGTTTCCTGATGGGGAATATCAGTTTCTATTGACCAAACTTCCCTCTTAGGGTAGGATATGGCTCTAGAAATATCAGCTCCAATACCCAGAATCTAAACTCTTATCCCCAACACAGAAGAGACTCTTTCTCTTCACTTCTCTGCCTTGAAATGTCCTATCGTGTAGCCTGCAGTTTGTAACAGATTGCCTTTTTGGTGGCTTTGCTCTCTCATTCAGAAATATAAACACTGTTTCAGAGATTTATTTTACAATTCATCTTCTGATTTGTCAGGGCTGGGAAGGTCAGCTTTCGGGTTTTCTATTCTAAATTACTTTTGAACAGATTTTGCAAACAGACTAAGGGATGGCTTTCGTCTGGACCGGAACACACTCTGAAAGTTGGGACCCAAGTCCCCCTTCTCTTTTGTTACAATGTAAACAATCAGGAACCCCACAGTTTCCCAAATCAATTACTTGCAAAAGAATAAACAGGTGCTTTGGAGACACTGGAGTTATAAAAAGAAAATGGAAAATTATTTTTTCATGGGCCAGCTGCTCAACTGATGTGATTCCCGGGAAGGTTCTCCTAGGCGCTGAAGCTCAATTAGCAAATCAATTAAGATCGTCCTTCTCTCTGCCAACAGGACCATGGTGCCACCCTCCGCCCTCCTCCCCATCTCAGGGCTTTCTGGTGAATCCCTGCCACCAATGCCAATGCCGAACCAGTCAACCTGAGGTTCCTTTGCTTTCCGCTAACTCTGGACAACAGGGGGCTGCTCCGGCTTAATTAAGGATTAGCAACTTCCAGAAGGAGCAGTGTCTCCGTGCTGGCTGCTTATTGATAGCTGTCAGTCCTAGCTTGCCCAGGAAGCTAGGCTCGGCACACACAGGGAGGGCAGACTGGCGTGGCTGGCTGTCACTTCCTTTCAGTGGAAAACAGATAGGACCAAGCAAAGCAGATGGTCCCTAAAGGGGCACATCCCAAAAATCTGCTAGCAAACTGGTGGTGCCTTTCAAATAAACAGCAGCTTGCTGGAGAGGAAAATCAGATCTCCCTGGCCACATCCTGCCACGACTGCGCCTCCCCCCCCCCCAGCTTGTACACTCGCCCACTGAGGAGTTTTCTAATCCTCAGCGAGGCATAATAACTTCATCTGGGGCAAAAGACAGCTTGTCTTTCTACGCTTCCTAGAGATAGCCATTATCACCCCTAATGCTCCCGTATCTGTCAGCAAAACCTGTTATCTGGGTCAGACCACCTTCGAGAAACAGCTGACCTGTGCACCACGGATGGTCACCCAGTCCTAAGGGATGGAAATACAAATATTGTGTATTTATTCGGCTAGATGGGTACAACCAGAGACGGAGCCAGTGACCCCTCAGATGGCAATTAAACACGTTTCATTGCAATGTTTCATCACAAAACATTAATGGAGCATTTTTTTCTTTCAAACTCCAAATAAACACACAAATGATTATTTGTGGGAGTCCTATCTCTGACAGCATCGGTTTGGACGAATCATTTAACATTTCTGGTCCTCAGTTTACTCATCTGTAAAATGAGGGGGTTGAACTGGGAGATTCCTAAGGTCCCTTTGGCACTAAAATTCTAGAGTTCTTTGGGTGGGGTTGGGTCTCCCCCAAAATTTTGGTAAATCACATGTATAATTAAACCGATTATTCGGCGCGGACGAGAACGCGAGAGACTGTTTACACACACACACACACATACACACACACACACACATGCACACACACGCGCACACACGGCTTACCTTTTCCACTGACGTGTGCTCTTCATTTGTCACATTTGCTTTTCTCGGTTCGTTTTTGGACCTGCTCAGCCTCCTGGATACCTTTTCTCTGAGCAGAGTGGCATATCCAATATGTTCGTAGATGGGGTTAGTTGTCATTTTTGAGATGTATTCGGCAGCTTTTGTTTCTATGTACAGCGTTATCAAGCCATCTGTCACCAGATCGTGAATCGACTCAAACCTCTTCTCTCCCACAAAGTGTTTTCCATCGTGGAAGAGCCTGTAGTTTAAGGTCTGGTTTCCAAACCTGCCCACGAGAGAACGAGGGATTACAACAGCATTAGAAATAAGAACAGTGAGGAACAATAACAATAACAGCTAACATTTTTTGAGCATTTACTACTGTATGCCAGGCCCACAGCTAAGCACTTGGTATGATTTTCCCCCATTTAATTATCATAGAGACCCCTTGAGACGGATGCAATTATTATTCCTGTTTTATAGCAGAGGCAGCTGATGGTTGAAGAGATGGCGGTAACTGTTGAAGTTACACACCTGGAATGGGGCAGAGGTGGGACTTAACCCCAGGCAGTCGTATGGGCGCATTTGATCCTAGAGATCTCCAAGGCCATCGGGTCCTTATTCTCATTTGTGAAAGTCAGAGGGTAGCACCTGCTTTGCAAGTATCTTACTTGTAACTTCCTGAATGGGAACTAGTAGCCTTTCCCCCTGCCTGGCAATTACCTCTGCAAGGGATGCTACCACCCCTGGCCCTGATGTCCCCTTATTGTTACATCTTTGTCACTTCCAGTAGAGCACCCTATGCTGCCCACTCCCTAAGTGCAGCAGAAGGGAAATGAAGGGAGGCGTGCTGGGATCCCCACTAGAGCCACTGCCAGCCTCCCTGCAATCCACCCGAGAGGTCCCTCCCTCCCACACTGGCTCTCCTCTGGGTGCTGGTCCTTCATCCCACAGCTCCTGCTTGGTTCCCCAGCAAGCTCCTGCTGGGAAGCTAGGAAAGTGCTTTGCATACCTGGAGCACTTGATAGCTTTGAAGTACTTCCTCATAATTACACCATTTAAGATATGTTCTAGACTTATTACAACTTGCAAGGTGTCTTTGCGCAGCCGCGATATCGAGATGGTGCACTGAACACGCCTTTGTGGGCTGGCCTGGAAGTGCTTCCACTGGCCCTCTATGGAGAAAGGTCTTCCCAATTCCAAAGAGTTCACAAGTGAACTTTTGCAAGACAATCTGACTCTGAAATTGGACACTTTCTCCAAACCTCGCAGGACTGTAGTGAGGATCAAATGACATAAAATACTTGGCCAAGGTTCACAAAGTGCAGTGTATGCGCTGCCTTCCCGGTGCTGTGATTTTGGATACTTGTGATTTTGTGGCAAATGGCTCAGGAGAGCCCTGTTCCAAGGGCTCCTTGGCCTGCAGCGGCAGCACCGCCATCATGACGGGTTCTTGGGCTCAAGGTGATTCCCCAGAGAACTCCACGAGCAAGCTGCCGGTCTCGCCAGGCACGCGTGCATGCAAGGTCAGGCGAAGGAGCCCTTCAACAGGGGACTCTGGGAGCTACGGCAGAGACGCCGCTCCCTCCGCTGGCTCCGTGGTATGGGCAGGCAGGGAAGGAACACTGACTTTCCAGGCAATTTTCCAAGTTTCTGTGTGACCATTAACAGAGCCCCAAGTGTCCACACCTACAGATAACATCTATGACTAAGGAAACGTATACAGCCTCTGATACAGCAGCTACCTGGGAAAGAAAGTGAAAATATCAAGTAAATAGTAGAGAGAGAGTGACTGTTCATGGTAGCGAGTTTCTGTTTGGAATGACGGAACGTTCTGGAAACGCACAGTGGAGATGGCTGTGCAACACCAAGGACGTACTTCATGCCCCTGACTTGTACTCCTGCATGTTGTAAAAGTGGTCAATTTTATGTTGTGTATACTTTACCACAACTTGAAAAACAAACGGGGCAAACATCAGTGAAGCCACTTACACAGCAGCGAGAACAGTGACTGAAATGCAGCTCACCTGAGGGCCAGCGTGTAGCATCCCGGCTGCCGCTGGCTTTCCCGAAGGATATAGGCCCCCTCGACACCTCCAAGGAGCTCGTCAGCCTGCTCCCGAGAGATTATCCCGTGGAACCTGCGGGGTGTGAGACCACAGTTGCTCTGAACAGACTGCACACAAAGTAGGGACGACAAACAGCTAGGCTTAAAGGGTCACCCAGAATCTGTGGCTCCCCATCTGGGTGAAGAGGGGGTGACTACTGCACACCGTGCCTGACTTAGAACCACCTCGCAGCATGCCCCAGACAGATAATAAGTATCCCAAATAGGCACATAAGGAGGAACACCCAGTCCACCTGGCTTTCTGCTGTTGCCTTTGCTCTCAAGCTGAAATTGAAAGCAGAAACAAAAAGCCAGGTGATGGCTCCTTTCTTTAAACCATAAGAAATCACAAAAGAGCAATTACCAATTTAGCTCTCAGCGCAAACACAGAGAACCATGTATTATCCTGATTGCAAATGAACAGTTATTGATCAGCGACCTGCTTGCTTTGGGTGCAGGGTGCTGTTAATTTTACAGGCTCCTTCTCTGGGAAGGAAGAGCTAGCTATCATCAACATGCTTCTAGCTCTAAATGTGAGAGCAATAGCTTGGGGACATGTTTGAAAGATGTACCTATTTTTCTTTTTTAAAGATAATGTTTACCTTCCTTTTCTACCATGTAAGAGTAATACACATGCGTGTAGACAGCTTGGCATATTCCGGAGGGCTGTGGGTTTGGCCAATGACTGCTTTGACCTGGAGGCGGCTGTCTGAGGCCCAGAGAGTGGACAGTGACTCCCAGGAGGAAGAGGGCAGGTGGGAGTTGGGTCAGGAACCGACCCACTTTCCCTGTTGCCTTTAAGCAAAGACAGATGCCCCCTCCCCAACTGCTAGGGGTTTGCTCAATCAGTGTTTTGGGAGAAGGTGGGCAGACTGGGTGCGGGGGAGGCCAGTGCCCAGGGACTCCTGTCTCCTGGGGAGAGGGAATGACACCTCTCTCTAGGATTACCCAATCTTGGAGTTCTTGGGGGAATAAATCACAGAAATGTCCTCCGAGACCAGGAAAAATTCCCTTACCTTTTTGGAAGGAAAAGGGGAAAGGGAAATGAGCTAGACAAGTGTTGTTTTGCTTTTTCCCCAGAAATGCAAAGATTAAGTTAGAAGACAAATGTAGAAGGCTGACATTTTGGGGGAAAATGTGCCTATTACAATACTGATTTCCTAATGTCCTCCATCCTTTACAAGTAGATAGACCTTCCAAGCTGAAGCTTCTGTCCCGGGGAAGTAAGATCAGAAGTGGTGGTGGCTTTAGGTTCCAAAATCAGCTCTCAGGTCTAAGGCTGTGATATCTTGGGAGAAAGAGGTTTTCTGGCTTCCCGGATTTTGGGTTTAGATCTCAAGAGATGATGCTGGCTGTGGAGCAGTGCTTTTCTAAGTGAGGATGAATGTGCTGTGATGTAGAGCAACTCTCCTGCTCCCTAGAAAAGACCAGTGTCCCCAGTTCTAGAGAGAGGGAGATGCAAGAAGGCTTTTGGCAGAGCCCAGGCTCAGGGGGTCTAATTGGTCCTGTATAGCAGGTATGGACTGGGAACGGTGGGCTAGCTCATTGGGAACCTGGAGCAGAGGTGTTTGGAGCTTTGTGAGTGAGGCCATCGGGGCCTTAGGAACCCTGCAGAGAAGCCTCCCATGTGGCATGAGCTGAGGCTGAGGAGGGCAGGACAGATGGACAGGGCAGAGTCCTGAGGGCAGACTTGCACGAGCTGGGCCAATGAGAGAGAGTGTGTGTGTGTGTGTGTGTGTGTGTGTGTGTGTATGTGTGTGTGTGTGTGTGTGTATGTGTGTAGGGGCAGGCAGGGGGAGAGTGGGAGGGGCAGGGGGTATTGGAAAGCTTCCCACACCAGAGTCAGAAAAGATAGAAGTCTATGGCCATACCACCCTGAACATACCCCATCTTGTCTGATCTCAGAAGCTAAGTAGGATCAGGCCTGGTTAGTGCCTTGGGTGGGAGAAAGGATAGAAGCTGGGACGTCCAGGACACACCCTAACCATGGCAGGGCAGGGCAGCAGGGCAAGAAGGGCAGCAGGGCAAGAAGGGCAGGGCAGGGCAGCAGGGCAAGAAGGGCAGGAAAAAGGGGAGGAGTCTCCCAAATGGGCAGTTACGGGTTTTTTTTTTTTGATACTTGATTTTGCTCATGCATACTCTTTAAAAAATTATTTTTTAATTGATACATAATGATTGCACATATTTATGGGGTACCTGTGAAATTTTGATACATATGTACAATGTATGATGATCAAATCAGGATAATTGGGCTATCCATCACCACAAACATTTATCATTTCTTTGTATTGGGAACATCCAAGTTCTTATTTTCTAGCTATTCTGAAATAAACAATAAATTGTTGTTAACTATAGTCATATCACTGTGCTATAGAACACTAGACCTTAAGTTTTAACTCCTTTGAATTGGCAAGTTTAAGTGATCAACAGCAGCAGGCAGTGTCAAGGACTAAGTTAAAAAATTCAATCCTTCAAAAGAAGAAAATGACAATTTTGTACACCTGAATTTTGTGCACAGTCTGTGGCTCATCATTTCCTTTGTGGGTGACTTTAAAAAATCCAAATATCTATAGTCTATAATATCTAATATATATCATATAATTGCAACATTGTAAAAATAAAGCATGCACAAAAACCAGAGAGAAAGGGATGAAGGTAAAATCTAGCGATGATTCCCTTTCATGGTGGGATTGTGGGTGTCTTCTCTCTTCTATTTTCCTATATTTTCTATTTTTCCCAAACTAGCAGGTGTAATTTGTTAACTTTTTAAAAACAAAAAGTAATACCTGTGCACAGTGGAAAAATTAAATACTTAAAAGCTGAAAGTTACAAAAGAAGTAAAAGTTCTCTTTCCCTGAAAACATCCATGTCAACAGTGTCTTGTGATTCCTTCTAGGGAAATATACACATGTGCATTTCCCTAATAGAGCATGTATTATCTTTTTTGAGTGAATGGAAAAAAAAAAGCCCTTCATCTTAATAAAATAAAAGGGAAACAGAATCTGAAAGTTTTAAGCTAATTTTCCTCTAATACAAAATGTTCCTTTCTGTGGCTAAGAAAATGTTTCCGTGGTCTCCTCTCACCATACACATTTTACATGAATTGGGGGTTGGAGGATGAGAACTAAAAGGTTATTCAACAAAACTTTTGTGCAAAAAAGAAAATGCATAATAAATAGAGTTCCTTTTGGAATTCATGTGCAAAAGTGTATGCGGTACACTTTCTCTCTTTTTTTTTAAATTAATTGTGCTATCTACAAGCAAAACCCAAACCAGTATATTGAGGAAAAAGCCACACTATTTAATATAACATATGTTAGCTGTTAGGGGTGTGAGGGGCAGAAGAACAGAGGCCAGCACTCTCAGGCAGGTATTCCAGAGGTGCTGGCCGAATTGCCAAGGGGCGGACAAGGAAGGTTCTGAGATGCAGCTGTGGCTATTGGGAAAGGACACTGGGCTGGGACCACTAAGAGGCTCGTTAATCATGGAGATGAGGCTCTGATGGGTAAGGGAATAAAAGGAAGAAGGTTTGGGATTGGTCAGGAGAGTCTGGGACATGGACTCAAAGGAGACTTTGCCTCGCAATGCCTTTAGGTTGGATGTGGGAAGAAAAGTAATTTATGCCTCTCCTCTCCCTCGGGACGTTCCGCCTGCCCTCCGAGAGGTGTTCTGCACATCACGGCTTACACCATGATTTACTTTTACAGTCATGCATATTTCCTTTGCAGTGGGTTGCTGAGAAAGTAAAACAAAGCAAGAGTCAATACTAAGAGGGAAGTGAGAAGAGGGGCTGATAAGGAAGGTATTAAGGTGACTTGGTTAATATGTACAAGTCAAGAGAAATCATCATTTGAGTTTTATGTAACTGCAGAGAAATGGGATGCCATTCCTGACCACTGAGTTTACTGGGGTTCATAAAAGTCAGGAATTAGCTACAGTGTACGATCTTTGACACCCCAAGCACTTATATTCTGTTGAAGTAAAAAGTGAAAGAAAACACAGAGCACCTCATTTATAAAAAATGTTGCCTTACACTTCAAATACTTGCCAGGCACTCAGTAGCTGCTTTTGTGGAGAGAAATATAGCATGAGACACTCTCTCTCCCACATGAATGGAAACCAAGCACCTGAATGTTATAAAGAAAATTCATTACAAAGGCGTCCTGATTGCATTTATTCTTCTTATTAAACTCTTGCAAAATAGACATGTGATGATGACCATATATTAAAGAATTTTTAATATTTAATACTTAAATGACACATGAAATGACTACTTATTAAATTATTAAAACAAAGAATAGTATAATACATACTCTCTTCCATAATATTTTGGTCTGTTTTCCACCTATATTAAAAAGAAGAAAAATATTAATAATGCATTTGAATTCAAATCTGCTAGATAAAAATGCTATTCAGATAAACAGAGCTAGAGTCCTGGTAGTAATTTTATTACAGATTGTATTCCCCAAATCAGAGATCCATGAAGCTATGGAGTTAATCAACACATTCCACTATCTAGGGTAGGGATGATCTAGAATCACTACATTTCTCCAATCACTGGGCTCATTTGCCACTCCAACCCCATCGCTCAATAAAAAAATTTTCAAAGGAAACAAAGTGATGCTTATTTTAATATTAAGGAATTTCTAATGATATTATAAGGCTTCATTCTGAAGGATAAAACCACTATTTCCAGCATGAATAAAACATAAGCATTTATTTCAATCTTCATCTAATTGTTTTGTTATGTATCTATAATTAAAACAAAGAATATACCCGGATTAAAAAATAAAATAGGCTTAAATTTGATCTCCTTCCAAATAAAATCAATAGACTAACATTCTTACTTTTTCAACAAATGGCTAATTAAGTTAAATTGAGTTAAAAATTGAGTTAAATTGAGTTAAAATTCACTTAACACAAGAGATATAGGATATAGAGGACAAAATTTATGAGTTGATTAAAAATCACAAATATTCCAGGAAAGATTTTTCAATCACAACTTTAGCCTTGGGGTTATCACATTGAGTTTTTCTCACATATAAGGTGATCAACTTTCCTAAGAACTTTTTCTCATGTTTAGGGTGTTTGAGTTGGTGAACAATTAACAAGAATTCTCATGTTCAGCTTTTGTTCTTCTTGTCTAACTCCAGGGACACTCAAAATATAGGAGAGCCACATTCAGTCACGGATATTTACTGATGGTTACTTGCATGACAGCAAGTTTATGTTTATTCGCTGGAGTAGAATATGAGCTTGGCAGCTATTTCATTACATCAAAGCTATTTCTTTTTACAGTCAAAGGGGCAGTTTTCCCAGCAGGGCTCAGGGATAGGCACAGTGGCAGGATTTCAAGATAGTGGGCAGTTTCCTGGCCTATCCCCAGCCTCCAATGGACTTAGGGAATCTGAGTGGGAGGTGGGGTGCTAGTGACTTGGGGAAAAGATGCAGGAAGGGGGAGCCAGGGCTCTGAGGACTGTACTCACTATTCTGCCTAGGACAAGCCTAGCTGGTAGGAAACTAATCATCTAGACACTTCTAAATATGTGTTCACTCTTCTGTGCATTTTACACCTGAAAATTACTCAACCAAGAGGGGCATTCATAACTCTCTTAATCTTCAAGGTTTGAAGCCTGCTTGGTGTCATTTGTGAAGGAAGATTTAAATAATGTCATTAATAGAAGCACGAAGTGTATAAAAAGGGACCTTATTATCTGATGTCCTTTCTATAAATGATGTGTACCATTACTCTACATGCTGGTAAGCTTTTCAATATGAGTTGAATACTCTTTCATTTATATCACCCTATTGGCTTTCAAAGTTCTTCCTTACTTTTATGGTATTATAGATTTGTAACTGCAAAACCAACGTGCCATAGAAGAAATTTAGGACTAGAAAAGCCAATGGAAGCAGACAACATATAATGGCAAAATCTCTCTCCATTCTTCAAGAGGCAATATTCCAAAATTTGAAATGATTCCCTATATATGAGGACATTTTTTTTTATTTTTGTCTTTTTATCTGAGCCATAATACAAGTTTGCACAATCAGGGTATAGCTCCCAACTCCATTCCCTTCCTCTATTCTTTTATTTCCTTCTTATTTTAGGTTAGAGTGATTAATCTAACTTTCCTGATGGACAGCATGGTAATAGAGCATACTACTAACTCATGGCATGCAGGTAAGTAGTTAATAAATGTTGCATTTAATTGACTCTTAACAAGACAACAAACTGCTTTCAGTATATCAATCAATCATGAAAATATATGACACACTTTTTATATTCAGGGCTCTGTGCTCAGGCCAGTCATTGTGCATAAAGTATTGACCTTGCAGGTGTAGAGAGGACGGACAGGTATGAGGAGCCCAGGGGTGCTCTGAGCTTGCAGCAGAAGGAAAGTGCTTAAGGAGAAATCTAACATATGCCCCCATGGAAGGAAGTCAACATTTACAGTGCCTTGAGGGACACCAAACAAGATCCTGCCCTGAGGAAGAGTGATCCAATTGAGGGACAAACCCTCTGCATGTGAAAATCACTAGAAAATAAAAGAAGAGCATGGCATTGGGGTAGGGGAACAAACCGCACACAGAATAGGACCATGGAATGGGTTCCAAATATTGCATAAGACATATACTAAAGTATTATTCCTCGTTTATCTGAGATTCAAATTTAACTAGGCATACTGGTTTTATTTTTCTTTCTTTCTTTTTTTCCTTCTTCTGAATCTGGTAACCCTACATAGGAGAAGAGGAAAAATGGAAGTGAGACAATAAGGACAGAGGATGTGTTTGGTCACCCGATTATTGCTCCTCCGGGATGGGGGGCTGTTTGGATAGCAATCTTATTCAATCTCTCTTCTGTTTGTTGTCTCTGTAACTCGTAAAGAAAATATAGCTGTCCTTGTTAAAGAGAGAGAGAGATGATGGCTAGGATATGAAAAACAAAAATCTCATCTTTTCCCTAAACTTTTTGCTCACAGGAATCTAAATGTCTCTATCTCTATTCCTCACTAAACTTTAAGCCTGTCAAGAACTTAATGTTTAAGTTAAACGATTCTGGAAAGATCATAGAATACCCACATTTCTTCATGTTGGATGATACTGGATCCTCATATCCAGACAAAACACAGCTGGCTGGGTATTAGGGATCCTAGGGACAAGGGACCTGCCATACAGAAGCCTGACTCACTCCCCAGGCACAGCTCTCTGTAAGCCACCAGCAGAAATCTCGATTTGTTTTATTCAAGAAGCTGTGGTTCTTAATTGCGGTTTCTAGTTATATGAGATTCTCTTCTGTATGTGTGAATGAGACAGAAGATAGTTGATAAATAAAAAGTAAGCTAACTCAGAAATGCTTCATGCATTTTCTCCAAAAATTATATTTGTTCAAATCAGGCAACTTAAGCAAAAACTGGAGGACTCATTTAAGTGGATTCAGGCAGGGATGTAACATAGCATGAATGAGAGGTAGTTCTGGAGCTTCCCCGCCACTGTGATCATCCTGGGGCAGCAACTGGAGCCAGTTAACCCATGACCTGGTGAACCTGGCCATTATGAATATGGCTGACAGCTGTCAGGTCTGCCTTGTCCGCTCTTAGGATTTAGTGCTCCAAGTCGAGAAGTGAAAGAAGCCTACCATTTTCAAGAAAAATGGAAAAAAATGTCATAGTTTGTAGATGAAGTACTAGATCACCTAATACTGGATCCTTAGGTAATCCAACAGGTTCAGAAATGACAGTGCCAAGTAGAAGCTCACAAACACAAGAAATGGGTCCTTCCCCCTGGTAGGCACTGGTAGGTACAGTGTATATTGTGTGGCCATGCAGAATGGTGGCTGATTCTTTTTAAAAATACAACATTTTATTCTAAATAACCATCATCTACAAGAGAATAGTCTCCCAAGGTAAGCACAATACAAGCCACTTTTAACTCTGCTGATCAGAACATTTTTGGAATTTCTCCTTTGGAACTGCCTTAACATATACTACCCTTTCTAGCTAATATACTTACAGCTGCACTTCTCAAAGCCTGGTCATTCAAAACAGAAATTCCAGGAAGTTTGTTAAAGATTGTAGATCCCCACCTTGGACCAATGGAGCCAAAATTATTGACAATAGGGATATAATGTGTTTGTGAATCAAGCCCCTAGATGATTTTTAATCACATATTAAAGTCAGAATCATTGCTATATAAAAATACATATTTGGTTCTTGAAAATGGATTTGAGAGTGGATATTATTTTGACAAAGAGGCATAAGTTATTCAGAGTCAACACCAGTGAATGGGATGGTTGATTGAAGTAGGAAATACATTTGAGACAAAAATGAGGCATAATCATAAAATAATAAGATTTTCACTGTGGCTTCCTCTGAAGCTATTTTAGAAGAGACATTGCCCAGAACACTCTGAGCAATGGGAACTTGGTGGAAATAGAAGCAGAGCTACCCAAGATGACTGATGGAAAGGTACCATGCTTGTGTAATGTATGTGTTAAAATAAAATCTATTTCATGACTTTAGAGTCACATCTCAAATATAATTAAATTGCCAGGACTGTGACTATCAAAGATGGTTTTGGTCCTTGTCCATACTATCCATGTACTGTGTTCCTGTATATGTGAGGCTGATGCAAATGTTACAGCTTCCAGCCTAATGGCCTCATCACCCTTGCTCATCCTATGTTCCCATCAAACCAAATTACTTGCAGTTCCAGAGGTATATTCCCTCTAATACGTGCATCATTTTTTATATGTTCTTATTTGAAAGTACCGAAGTCTCTTTGAGAAGGGGCAGATCAAATGGTAGTGGAGAGGGCAAGCTCTGGACTCAGAACCCTCAACTTTGAGGCCAGATCTGTGTGACTTTAAGCAAGTTACTGAATTTCTCTATTCCTCAGTTTTCTTACCTTTAAAATAAGAATGATAATAAAAGTACCTGCCTCATTGGGTTATTATAATAGTTAAATGCATAAATTTGTGTAAAGTGCTTGCAACGGTGCCTGGTGCACAGCTATGTAATCAATATTGGCTATTTCTGGTATCCAGAGAGGCCTGCACTGTACCGAAGGAAGAGTTAGGCCCATACTTTGCTGTGTTCTTAGAACTCCCATTACATATCTCACTGTGTTTTAAATTTTTACTTCCCAGTTTATTCTCTAACTACCCTGTGAGGTTTTTGGAGCAACAATTTTGTCTTCATCATCATTGTATTGTTAGGATTCCTGCCAATATCTGGCACAGAGAAAATACAGGGAGGGACCCCTTGCTATCTGAATCTAATCCGTTCCTAAAAAATGTGCTGGCCAGCAAAGCGTCCAACAGCAAGAGCCTCTATTCCATTACTTTAC